AAATCTGGATACCAACTACAAAATTCTCCAGTCAGCATAGCTTATTGCTGAGAATTATGGGAGCTGGAGTCCACACATTTAGAAGTTGCCAAGGTTGAGAAACACTGTTCTAAATGATCTCAACATCAGCCCCAACCATCATGATCAGTGGCAAGGGAAGATGGGAGCTATAATACCAGGTTGTGGAAGGTTGTTCTATTATTTATTTCTAGCCAGAATGTTTGTTGTTTATAGCCTGGTGAAGTCACAAAACATCATCTAGGCTGAGTTCTGTAATAATAATAATTTATTAAATGTATATGCTGCCTGACTCCCAATGGCTCTGGGTGGCTTACAATAGTTTAAAACATTTAAAAACAAAGAATAGAAAATACATATACATACACATACACGCATACACATGTAAAGCTATAATGTAGCTTGTTTTGTTTAGCATACACACAAACCATGGTTTAGTGCACTGTGTGAACCTGGCCAGCCAGAGCAAAATGGGAACAATGAGTTACTTATATACAGTGTTAGCTGCAGTGTTGATTGGGATGCCAGCACATGTACAGCTTTCCATGACTTGGTGCCTGCCAGTTGTGTTAGACTACTACTCCTTTCACTCCCATCCAGCATTCTTATCATTATAATCTAGAATTTATGGAGGGCATCAGTTTGGGGGAAAGATGATATGCATACAGATGATCAAGGATGTGTGATATGATTGTTGCATATCTTGGCTTGTCCCAGTTGTACCAAACTAGCCAATGTATAACTGATACCCAGTTTCTGGGTACAAGATACAAGATTTCTTTAAAAAATCTCTCTGATATATTTCAGATTACAGATAGTCCTTGTTTAGCAACTGCCTTGTTTAGTGACTGTTCGCAGTTACAACAGTGATGAAAAAGTAATTTTGCAACCAGTCCTCGTATTTGCGACCTTCACAGGTCTGTAAAGCAAATAAAAGCTGAAGTAAGTTCATAAGCACAGTCACAGTTTCACTTCGCTTAATGACTGAGTTGCTGGTCCCAATTATGGTCGCTAAATGAAGCCTACCTGTACAGTCAGTCCCTGGGTTATGAGCGAGATCTGTTCCTAGTCTGTCTTTAAGTTGAATTAGTAGGTAAGTCAGAACAGGTACATACGGTTCTTATTTAGCATCAGTTAGTCAAATGTTTTGGGAAAGATTGAAGGCAAAAGGAGAAGAGGACGGCAGAGGATGAGATGGTTAGATAGCA